CCCCAAAACCCCAAAACCCCAAAACCCCAAAACCCCAAAACCCCTTTTAATTCTGGTATAATTGATATGGTAAATATGGAAGGGGAGGGATAAATAAGATACCTTCAAAACTGGATGGATCTATTTCAAGCCCAACCGATACCCACCCACTCGAAAATGCTCTATTTCAACTTTGCTTAAGTCATCTTAATATTGCTGTTTTCTAAGAAATTGGCCCAGTAAGTCGCCGATCTATTGCTGTCTTCAATCTCCATGACTGCGAACCTCTGGCAGACTTCGTAGTAGTGCTTCATCTGGGTCTCTTTGAAGTGGGGGATCACTGCTTCTCCCAGATGCACTTCAATCATTTTGACCAGCTTGTCCATCTCCTCGATGTCTTTCTCCAGCTGTGAAATGCTTGCTGAGAGTGTGGTGATCTTGGTCTGGGTTCCCGACTTGCTTGTGAACAAAGTTTTGAGGGTCTTCTTGCCTTTGTTGAGGCTGTCTATTTCCTTCTGATTAGCCTTCTTCTTCGACTCTAGCTTCGCTCTATGCTGAATCGACTTGTCTCTTCAGTGGATGGCCTCTTGCAAGCATTCAATGTCTGAAATTTCCCCGAGAATCCAGTTGTGAAACTCTCCAAATGGGTTCTTGAGTTCTTCAGAAAGCTGCTCGCACTTGTCTTTGAGGTCTGGTCAGCTCGGATCTCCAACTACGAACCTGTTGTAGTTCGAGTCTCAGTACTGTGAAAGGGCTTCTTCTTCGAACTTGACCATGCTCGTGATGAGGCCTTTGTAGTTAGCGTTCTGCTGGGCTCTGGTCGGAACCATCTTGGCTGTGGTCTCTCTCAATGCTTTCAATGTTGGAAGCACTTTCTTTCAGAAAGCTCCGAACTCGTTGATGACTTCACGACACTGCTTGATCAAAAACTCGTCTGGGAACTCATCAATGAACAAGACAGTCTTGTACCTTTCGACAAGGGCTTGGGGAGTCATCTTGGGGAGCATGCTGAGCATCTTCTCGATGTCTCCGCTCGGTCTCGAGAAAATCTTGAACTCATCTGAGTTGAGAATATGAGGGAGAGCTCCCACTTTCCTGAGGAATCTTTGCAAGAAGTGTCTCCTATGCTCGATGTACCTATCGTCTTTGTTTCCGACTGCTTTCTTCGCTGGGACCGCAGGAATGAAGGTTCCTGGCCATCTGTTGACCAGGGAGCTTCTGAGGCGGTAGAAGTCGTTGAACCTTCTGGAGCCTTCGAAGTCTCCGTCTTCGTCTCTGCCTCGTACAGTGTAGCTGATGTGGCCGGAGTTCACAGGATCTGTGACTGTAAACACCGAGTCATCTTCTAGCCCAGCTGGAGCTGCTGGCACTGGAGTCGGAATCGGAGCGCTTGTGGTTCCACTTACTGGAGCTGGACTTGGAGCAGGAGGAGGCGGTGGAGCCAAGCCTGAACTGGGAGTTCCGACTGGAGGATATGACGGTGTTTTCTCTTCTTCGTAGCCAGCAGGAGATGCAGGTACTGGAGCCGGAGCTGAGACGTGATGGGCTGAAACTGGTGGTGGAGCTAACACTGGAGGAGGTGCTGTGACAGGTGGAGGCGCACTAACTGGTGGTGGTGCTGTGACTGGTTGCCCATAATCACTACCTTCGTCAGGGTTATACTGGATGTCGTCTTCGTCATCAGAGTCAAAGAGCCCGTTGTTTCCACTCATTTTATTTTGTCAAAAATTTATATCCAATTTATGATTTCCTTTATGGGGTTTTGGGGTTTTGGGGTTTTGGGGTTTTGGGGTTTTGGGGTTTTGGGG